TAGTTCAATATTTTAAAGAATTTTTGCAATCTATTCACTTAAATCCCTTTCACAGCCAGGAAAAACTGAAAATTTGAAAAAAGAAATCTGTAGTTGTTCTTTTTTTATTTTCAGGGTCGCTAATTTACAAATCTGAAGTCAGTTTTTTAAAATTCAAAATGGCGGATCCAATATGGAGGACGAAAAATATTAAAAATCGTTGTGAAATTTTGATTTGCTTGAAACTTATTACTCGGGGGTTTTCTTGGTTGCTGCGATTACGAATTTGTAGTCAGATTTGCTTGAAATTTATTAATTTGAATTTGTAAAATCTGACTTCATATTCGTAATTTGCGATCCCAAAATTAGTGAAATTAGTGAAAATAATAAAATTATAAAAACTAGTTTAAATTATTCGTATAAACAGATTTTATAGTATAAAAGTAGAATTTTTTTAATAAAAATTAATCAATTCCAATGAAAAATAAAAGATAAGTCTTGTACCGTATTAAAAAAAAAAAAAAAATCTGAATCATTCAGGTGTTTGACAAATTTGTCAGTGTATTTAATTTATCAAAAGAAACGGAAAAATATGAGTTATTAAATGTTAGATTTCACATTTATAAAAATAGTGAAGGAAAAAAGTATTTTCATGCGAACGTTGCAGGTGTTGCAATCGAAAAAGAATGAGTTTACATATTTCTTTTGCATACTTTTCATGTATATATCTCTATACTATTCTTTCAATTTTTCCTCTTTTTTCCCTCCCCCTCTTGTATCTTGTCATATATTTTTCTACTTTTATTCTCTTTGTATTATTAGACAGTTACGAGATTCATATTATCTATTACATTTTTCACTTTCTATATAGAGAGAAAGAGAAAAAAAAAATATTTAAAGAACAAAGAAATAAAACTTCATGAAAAATTTAAAAATTCTAAAAATATATTTTAAAAGGTATAAGAGAATATTGCGGTCTTTAAATATATATATATATATATATATATATATATATATATAAGGATCTAAAAGAGTTTCATATAGTTTACGGGATCTCTAGTTGCAGAGTTACTTTTTTTCCGTCATTTTCGTAAGTTACTAAAAAAGGTACCATTTACTAAAACGATTACATCATAATATAATTTTCTACATAATTTATTATGACTTAACATTTGCTTTACATTTAGAGAGAAAAAAAAAATGTTTGTCCATTTAAATTTAAGGTTTCTTTCATTCCTAACTCTTATATTTTCTCGGTACGAGACACTTCAATTTCAACATAACAAATTCAATTTGACTAATGGAAAATTGCAGTAATTTAGTCCTTTTGACATTCACACAACTCCACATTCATTCAACGAATCCTTATAGAAGCCACAGTAAGTTTTTCAATAATTAATTTTGTCTCGGTAAAGAGAGAGAGAGGGAGAGAAAGAGAGACTTTAAATGGATGGAAAAAATAATCAAAAATAATTTTATTGCTTGTAACGGATTTTAAAAATAATTTTCTTCGTTTATTATATATCTTCTATTATATTAAGTTAACAAATTTCGAAAAACGACACCGACCCCGTGACCTCGACACCGTCCTTGAAAAATCTATTTTCAATTGTTTTCAAATAAATCAAAATACTTTGCATATATGCTTTTAGAAAATCTTACAAACTATTTTTATGTAACATCTTTTTTCAATTTTAACCCGAAAAAGGGTTATTTTTCAATTTTAACCCGAAAAAGGGTTATTTTGCCATTTTATCCCGAAAAAGGGTTATTTTGCAATTTTTTAAGAATTTTTTGATTTTTTCAAATTTTTATTATTATTTTTTATTATTTATTGTTGTTTTTTCAATTTTTAGTTAGTAACCTATAATATTGTGTCTAATTTTAAGTGTCATTAAAATCAAATGTTTTTAACTTAATAATTTTAACATTTCTTAATTTAAAACGAAACATCTTCTATTATATTAAGTTAACAAATTTCGAAAAACGACACCGACCCCGTGACCTCGACACCGTCCTTGAAAAATCTATTTTCAATTATTTTCAAATAAATCAAAATACTTTGCATATATGCTGTTAGAAAATCTTACAAACTATTTTTATGTAACATCTTTTTTCAATTTTAAGATAAATTTTATACAATATTAATAAGATATTAATTTAAAACATAAATTATATATATAATATACATAAACTACAATAAGTAATCAACAATAAGTACAATTTTAACTGAGCGAGCGTTAGCGAGCGAGGAATACATCGCTAGTACATGTGGAAAATATGAATTTTTTTTTTTTTGCTCACAAAAAAGATTTTCTTTTTAAATTAACGCGTTCGTTGGTTTAACTTTATGGTTCAATCTGGGGTAAGAAATTTTTTTTTACATTCCTTTTTTTCTGACTTTCTTTTCTCTGTGTTAAATAGATGATGTAATATATGATTCTATGAAGTTGAAGGCAAAGTGAATCTTAACGATCGGTATTCACTGAATAATTCTTAGATAAGCTTTCTACGTGCAGGGAAAATGAAGTTGCTTTTACATTTCCAATGCTACTTTTTTTCAAATCGTATTTTTATTCTTAAAACAAAAAAAAATTGAAGCTGAAACTATATTATGGTGTTAATAGTTAATTTTTTGTATATATAAAAGTTTTTTTTTTTTTGTTCGAGAAGAAAAGAAAAAACAAACAAATAATTAAAATTATTTCATTCGCAATTCCCGTGTAGAAATTTTGCCATGGCTCGGCTCGGGGCCAGATCGGTCACAGGAGTGCTTTAAATTGAAAATAAAAGATAATGTATTTTTGTTTTAAAAATACTTTGAGTATTTTTTTTTTTTTTTTTGCAAAATTCAAAAGTTTATTAATTGCTTTTATACATTTTTCCTTGGAATAAACATGTGCCTCGAGAGAATTTATATGAAAAGAAATAAAAAATTGTACGCAGCGAAATAAATTTTGCGTAGTCAGATGCAGTGAAAGAAATTGCAAATCGATTGGTTTTGTTTTCTGCCTGCGTACGACTAAACGAAATTTATTCAACTGGGCACAGCTTTTGCTTATTTTGCTGTCGTGTTTAACTTTAGGCAGATATTCATCTTTATATTGTACATATAGGGTAACTGCACCAGTGGTGGATCATGCACCAGTGGTGGATCAACTGCGAGAAAAATGGTCATTTGTGTTTACACGTTTGTAAGTAAATGAATCGCAAGTGTCGGTAATTGTTAAGAAAGTTATACAGATCAATATTACAATTTAAAAAAATTTTTAAATTCATCGCGAAGAAAGCAGGACAACAATTACTAAAGTGGTGACAGAAAACAAGAGTTTTCCTTAGCATGTAAGTTAAGAGTATATTTTGGAATAGAAAGCTTTGGAGCCATTTTAGGACAATTTTTAATTCTTTTCACAATAGGAGGCATTTCGTTTCATCCCCATAGAGCCCTGAGAACAATATTTACGTCTGTAAGTAGCGCGTGTCCATTGTTTTGGGGTGATCCACGACTGGAACCAAAAAAGTAACAAAATCTAGTGGTGGATCAGTCCTACTTTTCGCCTGTTGACGCATTGTTTTATTGAAAATTTTATGAGTTAAATTTTAGTTAACACTAATTCAAATTTTATTAATTGTTAACACCTGGGGGTCGATTACGTAACTTTCCCACTTCCCACATCCCACATCTCACTTTCCACATTTTACATCCCACTTCCCAAATCCCACATCTCACTTCCTACATTTTACATCCCACTTCCCACATTTTACATACCACATCCCATATTTCACATCTCACTTCTCACATTTCATATCCCACTTCCCATATTTCACATCTCACTTCTCACATTTCATATCCCACTTCCCATATTTCACATCTCACTTCTTACTTCCCATATTTCATATCCACTTCCCATATTTCACATACCACATCCCACATCCCATATTTCACATTCCACATCTCACTTCCCACATTTCACATCCCACTTCTCACATTTCACTTTTCACACTTCACATCTCACATTGTACATTACACTTTTCTTATCACGCTTCCCACCTTTTATATCCCACTTCTCACATCTCTCCCATTTCCCACAAGATGTTGGATGTGGGAAGTGGTATGTAAAATGTGGGAAGTGAGATGTGGGAAATGGGATGTGGGAATTGAGAAGTGGGATGTAAAATGTAGAAAGTGAGATGTGGGAAGTGAGATGTGGGATGTAAAATGTGGGAAGTGAGAAGTGGGATGTAAAATTAGGGAAGTGAGATGTGGGATGTGGGAAGTGGGAAAGTTACGTAATCGACCCCCTGATTTCAAATTGTTAAATTTTTGTTGAATTAAAATACCCAGAATTAATAAATGTTATTTATCATTGAAACTGAAGCTTTAAGAGTTTCTATTTATTTATTACCAAAAATTCTAATAAAAAGATGATTAATTAATATTTAGTCACATTATACCTATAGAAATGAAAGAGGAGGGGATATGGATAGGAAAGTGAATTTGAAAATCTGTCCGTAAAGCCTTATAAAAGTTGCAAAACGTCTCAGTCTCGTAATTTTGAAATGCAATGTTTTTTAGTATGATTTTTTAAGTGATCCACCACTGGAGCAATCTATAACCATGACTGGTGCAAACAGTGATCCAGAATAGGATCATTGACAAATTATCTTTGATGGAGCATTAAAGTAAACGTAGGTGTCAAAATTAAGTCTAACCTTGAAGGAAATGTCTATTGGAACTATCTGGTCCATAATACTATAGAGAATAACCTCGAATTTGTCCAAAAACAACCTATACAGAACTTCAAAGTCAAAATAAGAAAGTTAAGGGGCTTAACTGATCCACCACTGGTGCAGTTACCCTATATATGAATTTTTTTTTTTTTGCAAAAAATAAAAAATGTTTTATTCCTATAATAGAAATTACATTCTTTATATAATGTAAATATATAAATATTTATTTTTTACAAAATAATAATAATAATAATAATAGTAGTAATAATTTTTTTAATTATTTTTTTCAGCTCCTCCGGGTATGCTGATTAAATTGGATTTTCGAGATTATTTTGAAATAGAAAGATCAGATGGTTGCAAGCATGATTATTTAGAAGTACGTGATGGTCAACATGGTTATTCAAATCCATTGGGGAAATTTTGTGGAAATAAATTTCCCGAAGAAATAACGTCCAAGACAAGATATCTATGGCTTAGCTTTGTGAGCGATGAGTCTATTGAATATCGAGGATTTCGAGCCATTTGGACGACAGTTCCACGACCCACTGGTAAGTCACATTTTTTTTTGTAAAAATTAGTTTTAAAAATTTAAAAAAAAAAAATTTTTTTCCTCTCATTTAACTTTTTTACATCTAGGAAAAACGAAAAATTAAAAAAAAAGAAAGCTACAATTGTATTTATAGTTTTTAGACTCACTAATAATGGATCTGAGGTCATTTTTGCAAGATTCAAAATGGCGGATCCAAAATGGAGAACGAATTTTTTAAAAATCAACCAAATTCTTTTAAAAATTGTTATTTGGAGGTTTTTAGGGTCGCTGATTTCGAATCTGGCATTAAATTTGTATTTCGTAACTCTGAAAACCTCCGAGTATCGAATTTCAAGTAAATTCAATGAATTTAAAAAAAGTTGTCCGCCATATTGAATGTGACATTTTGAATTTTTGAAAAACTGACATCGGATTCGTAATCAGCGTCTCCGAAAACCCCTCCAATAACAAGTTTTAAAATATTTCGAACAATTTTTAAAAATGGACATCATATTTGATCCGCCATTTGTAAAAGTATTTCCTCTATGGATTCACTTTTATACTTTAATTTGAGAAAAAAATTCCATCACTGGGATTATTATTGCAAGCTTATTTTTACTCTATTTTTATTTATTTTTTGTGGTTTGGAATTTTTTAAACTAGAATCAGAAGAATTGTTTGAATTTTTAAATTATTTCTTCATGTTTATACTTGATTATTCTTCTTTGTAGTAAAATAATTTTCCATCTTTTCTTGGATTTTTTTTTCATTTTCTTTCTTATTACACTGAATAATACTAGAAGGAGATTCTCCTTCATCATTGAAGGATTATGTTAATTTAGTGAATATTTAGTTTCCTTGATTTTCGATTAGACAAAACAAAAGTAAAAGTTAATATTATTAGAATAACAAATCAATTTTTGCAATTGTATTATTTTTTTTTTAGAAAAAAGTAAAATATATATATATAGAAAATTGAATTGACATTTTTATTAATATCAGGAAGTGCATTAAAGTAAAAAAATTGAAACTTCTAATGCTGTATTGGATAGAATATATATAGTTATATATAATTTGAACATTCTACACATATACTATATATATATATATGTATATTCATATAATGCATATTCGAGATCCTTTCACGCCCCGATAAGTCGCAACGCATAAACGGAAACTGCATAATGAGACTAACTCTGTAAACGTCTCGGGGTTGTAGGAGTATCTGGTGGTCGTGAATATCGCGGTTTCCTGCTCGACGTGCAACGGAATTACGAGACACCTTGGGAACGGATAGCCAGCCTCGAGGAACGCACTATATGCTTACGCGGCTAGAGAGCGAAATTAATTCATAGTCATCGGCTATAGAACCCAACTCGTGAATACACGAAATACCACTTTGACTCCGTTCTGTTTAATACCTTGTTTATCGAAACTTTATTAGATTTCAATAAGACTTGCAAATAGACAATTTTGCATTTCAATTATGGAATAATAAAATCATTTTTTTTTTTTAATTTAAAAAAGTAACTAGATTTTATCTCTATTTGAATTAATTAATTAAGTTATGCTTCTAAGTATTGTAATCATGTATTTATTGCAGTGACGAAAAAATGTTGCCATATGAAAAATAGACTATTTTTTCTTTTTACCTTGAGAAGGTGTAGAAATTTGTCCTGAACAATATTAATGAAATAAAAATACAATACAAAACTTTACCAATACAATACAATACCAATGTAAAACAAAATAATACCAGTAAAATACAACAGAAATTCATTACTAATAAAATACCGATACAGTACCAATAAAATACAAAATAATACAAATACCTTACCAATATTAATACTGTTCAATAAAATACAATACCAATAGCATACAATACAAATACCAATACAAAACCGATAAAATAACAATGCAATACAACACAATAAGAAAACATTACAAATAAAATACCAGATACAAAACCAATTCATTATAAATAAAGTACCTACACAATACAAAACAATACCAATAGAATACTAATTTATTATCTATATAATACCATTAAAATACAAATAACACCAATATAATAACAACAAAATACAAATACAAGGCCAACATAATGCAATACAATACCTATACAATACAAAAAAATACGAATACAATACAAAACAAAGACAATTCATTTTCAATACAAATACAATACAAATACAATACAAATACAATACAAATACAATACAAATACAATACAAATACAATACAAATACAATACAAATACAATACAAATACAATACAAATACAATACAAATACAATACAAATACAATACAAATACAATACAAATACAATACAAATACAATACAAATACAATACAAATACAATACAAATACAATACAAATACAATACAAATACAATACAAATACAATACAAATACAATACAAATACAATACAAATACAATACAAATACAATACAAATACAATACAAATACAATACAAATACAATACAAATACAATACAAATACAATACAAATACAATACAAATACAATACAAATACAATACAAATACAATACAAATACAATACAAATACAATACAAATACAATACAAATACAATACAAATACAATACTAATACAATACAAATACAATACAAATACAATACAAATAATACCATTATATTAACAATAAAATACCAATTCATTATTATCAATAAAATACCTACACAATACCAATACAATACCAATTTATTATCAATAATAATAACAATAAAATACGAATAGTACCTATATAATAGCAACAAAATATAAATACAATACCAATAAAATACAAAACAATACAAATTCCTTACTAATATTAATACAATACAAATACAACACCAATAAAATAAAATGCTTATTCTTTATCACAAATAATACCTTTATATTAACAATAAAATATCAATACAATGCATACAGAATACAATGCAATACCAATGCAATACAAATATCTTACTAATATTAATTCAATATTAATACAATACCAATACAATGGCAAGAAAATATAATACAATACCAATATAATACCAATACAATACAAAACAATACTAATTCGTTATCAATAAATTAATAATTCAATACCACTTTATTATCAATACAATACTAATACAATAAAATATCAGTACAAAACATTACCAATTTATTCCCAATAACAGACAAATACAACACAAAACAATACTAATTCATTACCAATACAATACCAATAAAATACAAAACAATACAAATTCCTTACTAATATTAATTCAATACAAATACAACACCAATAAAATAAAATGCTTATTCATTATCACAAATAATACCTTTATATTAACAATAAAATATCAATACAATGCAAACAGAATACTATGCAATACCAATGCAATACTAATATCTTACTAATATTAATACAATATTAATACAATACCAATACAATGGCAAGAAAATATAATACTAATACAATATACAAAACAATACTAATTCGTTACCAATAAAATAATAATTCAATACCACTTTATTATCAATACAATACTAATACAATAAAATACCAGTACAAAACAATACCAATTTATTACCAATAACAAACAAATACAACACACAAAACAATACTAATTCATTACCAATACAATACCAATAAAATAGAAAACAATACAAATTCCTTACTAATATTAATACAATGATAATATACAATAAAATACCAATATAATACCAATATAATATATATTAATAAAATATTAATACAATACAAAACAATACTAATTAATTTCCAATAAAATACCAATACAGTAAAAAACAATACCAATACTTCTCCAATAAAATACCAATACAATACCAATCCAATATTATAAAAAACAAAATTAAGTATACCTTTTTTGAGATATTGAGAGGAGAATTCGAGAAGATTCGTACAATTTTGGAAAAAATAGGTATTATTTCTGGATGTAGTGGTATTCGTTCGAGAACATATAGTTATAGAGTCTGAGGGTTTCATTTATTTTAGAATGGCCTTTCAGGATTTAATAGGATTTAAACTTAAGCCTCGTACTGAAACAGATTGATACGAAATTATCAGAAAAAATAAATTTTCAAATTGAAATTTAAAATTTGTTTTTTTTTTTGTCTAAAAATATCTGTAGAATTTTTAGGTAGAATAATTAAAGTTTTTAATGTCTATAGTTGATTCTGCGTTTTTGAGGTAGAATTGCGTGAACAGTTGAACATTATAACTTTACCAATCTAGATACTAGACTTCATTTAGTTTTCCATGATAAATTTCATCATGGGACTGTAACATCGCGTATATATAATATCTAAAATTTCCCCTACGTTCCTTCTTTTGATTTCGTTCATTTGTGTCTGCGTTAAAAAGTTAAAATAGTAAATAACACTGAATAAATATAAATTTTATATATTACAATTAAGGAATTTTAGGTTATGTTTTACAGGATAAAGTGCTATTATTGATTGTTATCTAAAATGATGTAGTTAAAATGAAATATTAGTATGCTGGAATAAATAAATCTTTAATTCTCAAAAAAGATGATAAAATAATATAAAAATAACAATTAGTTTATAGTTGAATTCTAAAGGAATTTAATTTAATGGAGAGTTCATTGATTTAAACTAAAATAGTTGAATTGCAAATTTTGCGTTATTGAGGAAATCCCTTTACTTAACTTTGTCAATGTTCTGCAGAAAATTCATTGAAATTTAACTATTTTAGGTTCTTACTTTGATTTCGTATCTTAGTATTTTACTTTGATTTAGATAAAAATAATTTTTCAAATTTCACTTCACAAGGTTATTGTGAGCTGTTTTATTATTATTTATTATTTTATAACATATTTTTCTATATCAGCTTCTGAAAACTTGTGATTCCCCCTGGAAATGAAAACTTATAAAAGGAATGAACTTGTTTGTTGATAATAATTTGAAATTGTAAATGAAAATGGATAAGAAAAAATGTTTTATATTTGAGTATTTGCCTCAATACATCATTTTACATATATATGGGGAATCCCAGGTGAAGTGATCATGGTAAAAAAAAAAAAATTTTTCGATCACTCTTAAACTCAGGGCATTTGTAGTACTCATAGATGTTAATTTTTGGTAAAAGTTTTAGGGTTTTACGGTAAACCGCATATTATTTAATGGTTTTTTTTTCTTAAATATTAAAATAAAATTTTTTTACTAATATCAGTTTCGAAAGCTTTTTTGATGCTCTTTCGATTGGTAATATATGCATTTTTGAAAAAAAAATTTTTTGACCAAAAAAATGAAACTAAAAAAATAAATTTGATTTTTTCGGGGTGAAAGGTATGATTTTTTTTATATTAATCAAAAGCTGAGATTTTTTCCTATAAAAATATGTAGTTGAAAAAGTAAGACAAGAATATTTAAATATTGATAATTAACATTTTTTGCTTTTTTTTTGCCATTTTTTACTATTTTTCAATATTTAGACATTCTTGTCCCATTTTTTCAACTATATATTTCTATAGGAAAAAACTGCTGCTTTCGATTTTAAAAAGAATTCTACCTTTCACCCCAAAAAAGTCAAATTTATTTTTGTGTTTCATTTTTTTTCAAAAATGCATATTACCAATCAAAAAAGCTTTCAAAACTGATATATTAATAAAATTTGTTTATTCTAATATTTAAGAGAAAAAAAAATTATTACAAGAAAAAAGCCATTTTTTCCTCTTTGATCACTTCACGTGAAATCTCCCATATACATTGGATTACAAAAAAATAAACTTGTAACTGTAGATTCATTATTAGTAAACTTTTTGAAACCTTAGCAATACATCTAAAAACTTTAAACGCAGATGTTTAGGAAAAGTATATATGTAACTCTAATAGGTGTGATTCACAGACGGAGTACCACGTGAACCTGAACCATGCACACGAAATGTAACGGAAATGTTGGAATATGAGATCACTAGTCAAGATGTCGAGGATCGTAAAAGTGCTGCACAGAAGGATGGTCTACCATTGGATTGTATTTGGGAGATTGTGGTGAAGAAGGGAATGAGGGTAATGACTGCTAGAATAATTTTATGTTTCCACCATCATTACTTTTCTAACAGTTTCAAACTTTCCTAAAATTTTCTTCAAAATAAATTATATACCTTAACTTTATTATCCTGAACCTAAACTTTTCTTATTTATACTTACTATACTGTAAATTTAAAGCTACATTTCTTTTTTGTTATTGTTACAAATAACTATTGTGTAAGCGTAAAAAAACTGGGTAGCAATTATGTATTTTGATTTACCTTTGACATCAAAGTCATTTTCATTTTGACTTCGTAGTCAAATGTCATTTTACATAGTTTTACGTAAAATGATTGTTTTGATTTGTCAAATTGTAATAACCACAATTTTGAAGTATTATTACTTTTTTCCCTTTATTAAAAATTTAAGAATAAAAACTTTATTTAGGAATTAAATGATGAAAAAGTGAAGTAAGTAATTTTAAAAAGATCAAGACAGCATTACAAGGATTTTTAAAAAAACTTTTCTAACTTTAACAAACTAAGTAAAAGTAAGAGGTTAAAAAAACTTTAATTTATGAAATATAATTAAAACATTAATATTATTTTATTTATTTATTCATTCACATATGTTAAGAGGAAAAATTGAAAGAATTATTTAAATATTACTATTTATATATAATTAATTACAGTTTAAATAAAATAAATCGTTAATTTTTATTTACACAAATATAAATAACAGTCTCGTTACTGAATTTATGTTTAGGAATTAATTGCAATTACATTATGCCAAAAAATTGAGTATTTTTAATAATAATTTATTTTGAGCATTTTCTATTTTAAATTACATCAATAAATTATGTACAAAATGTTAATTTGCTCAAAACAGTAGGAAACTAATTTAAGTTAAAATTATTTTAGGAAAAAAATATTTCATCGGTCAAATGTAAGTAATTTTTTATGTTTATTATCTTTTAAACGACATAATTTCTTCTTTAGTTTTTGATTTTTTTGTTTATTTTATTCTGACTACATTTATAAAAATGAAAGTAAGGCATTATTCAAAACAATTATAACATATCCCTGGTTTCAATATTAAAAAATACTTACCGTTGACAGATGAAATAATTTTTTATTAAATAATTTTAACCTAATTATTAATCTTTTAAAAATTCCTTAATTATACCGCTTTTTTAACTGTTTAAAATTACTTACTTTACTTTTTTATAATTTAAATCCTAAATAAATTGTGGATATTACAATAATTTGACAAATCAAAACAATCATTTTAAGTAAAACTACGAAAAATGACATTTGACTGCGAAGTCAAAATGAAAATGACTTTGACGTCAAAGTTAAATCAAAATACATAATCGCTACCCTGTATAAAAAAATAATACTTCTATTTAAAAAAAATACTTTACTTTCATAAAAGATGTCTAAAATTCTACTTATTAAAAATGGAAATCAATTAGAGACAGTACTTTGGATATTCTAAGTGACAAACGAGTACGGCTACAGATGATGCTTTTTATTATTATTATTATTATTATTATTATTATTATTTTATATATGAAAATCTTTTTGACCCGGAGGAGTAATAAATTGAAATTTTTCTTTTCCGTAGATACAGTTATCATTTCCGAGTTTTGATTTGAACAAGCCAAATGAATGTGACGCTAATTATGTGGACGTATTTGAGGATCATCCCGATATTCCATCAAGATTGAGGAATTTTTGTGGAAGTATTGCTGATTTAGTAACTACAAAAAATAATGTTGCCTATGTACATTTTTACACGGAGCCTAAAGCTATTAATAGTTCCTTCAAGGCCATTATGACTGCAATTCGGGATAAAAGTTCTGGAAGTAAGAAATAAAACAAAGTATTATTAATTATCTACTTCTTAAAGTATCTTAACTTATCGGAACGTATGATTATGTTCTAAAAATCATTAGTTAAAATTTTCATTTTATGGAATTTCATTTGTCATAATTATTAGTATTTTGCAGAATTTTCATCAAAACGATTTTCTAATATTACAGAATAACAGTATATAATCAAAAATTCACTTCACAGAATTTGTATTTATTCGAATTTTTATTTGTCAAAATTTGTATTTGCTCGAATTTTCATTTAACCTTCGCTTGACAAGATGCCCACCCAGGGTGGGCCAGACAAATTGAAATTGCCATATCTTCTAAAGTTTTGCCTTAATTGAATCGCGATTTTAAGTCACTGAACAAAATCTTAAGAACTTTCAAAAAATGTAAAAACAAATTTTTAAAAAAAATTTCTTCTTGATTATTTATAACTTTTATCAATGTATGTACGGAGATAACCGGGATGATTCAGATATTTTTTTAATTCTATTTTACAAAAAAAATTGAAATCATGCAGACTTTTCACTGTGAGTGTTTTATGATGTCAAATAATAGATATAAAAAATATTATATTGCATTTTTCATTTGTTTAAACAATTTATTGTTATTATTTATTAACTTTTTTTGTTCTGCACCTACAAAGATGCAGTTTTTTTCTAATTTTGCAATTTATCAAGCGGAATATAATAAAAGATAGATTTGATGTAAAATTATTAATTCAACAATTGTTTAAACAATTTATTGTTGTTATTTACTAACTTTTTTTGTACGGCACCTGGAAAGTTGACGTTTTTTTCTAATTTTGCAACTCATCAAGCCGAATATAATAAAAGATAGATTTGATGTAAAATTGTAAATTCAACAATTGTTTAAACAATTGTTAAATTAGTAAATTTATGTCAAATCTGTCTGGCTATATTATATTCGGTATGATAAATTGCAAAATTAGAAAAAACTGCATCTTTCTAGGTAAAATACAAGAAAGTTAATAAATAACAACAATAAATTGTTTAAACAATCGTTTGAATACTAAATTCATATAAAATCTTCATGTTTATTATCACAGAAAAAACTTGGATTCATTTTTGTTGCAACTCATTTTCTTTTGGGTATCGAAATGAGTATGGGACAAACTTCATGTTATTCAAAATGATATTGGCTGGAATTTCAGATTTCTAAGTTGGCATCATAAGCAGAGTAATTTTGTATTTAAATTATTGTTTCTAATATTTCAACAACACCAGAAAGATTATTTTGACCAGTACGAATATTTAGAAGTTTTTAAATAAAAATTATTTATTATTATTTACGTAGATAATAATTAATTTCATAAGTTTTTAAATTTACCGCTATTATTTAAGTTGGCAGTACCGTTCCTGTTGTCAAAACACATGTTTTCATTTTTCTAACCTAAAAACATATTTCCTTTATTATTTTATTACGCGATTACAAGCAATTTTTAATCAAATATATTAAGTCTAGCGTGTTATTTACTTCTTTGTAATTATTATATTCCATGTTTTTGTGCAAAATTATTCGTTATTTCACAATATTTTTCCATTTTTCTTTTTCTCAAAATGAAACTTGCCTGTTTCATTTTGATACTTTTACCTTAGAACTCGAAATGAGACAACCAGTTTCATTTTTGTTGCGAATCAAATTGAGTATAGAATCTATACTCAATTTGAATTCAGGTTTTTTCTGTGATGTTGAGCTTGTTAAGTTGCAAAATTAGAAAAAAATTGCAACTTTGTTGGAACATTATAAAGAAAGTTAATAAATAGCAACAATTATTTGTTTAAACATTTGGTTAAATAGTAAATTCATATAAAATCTTTGTGTTATTATGTTGTGCTTGTTAAGTTGCAAAATTAGAAAAAATTGCAATTTTCTAGGAATATTATGAAGAATGTTAATAAATAGCAACAATTATTTGTTTAAACAATTTATAATAATAGTTGTTGCAAATTGAATTATATATTTTATTTTATTTATAACCTTTGAATTAATAACTACGAAGAAAAGGTAACAAATTTATAAAATTCTTCTACTGTCGTATGTATATTTGAAAAAGTTATAAATTATTAATAATAAATTGTTTAAACAAATAAAAAATCAACAAAACATTAATAAAATATATTATTTGGTAACATATAACAATTTTGGTAAAAAACTGAATGATTCTAAGTTTTTATTGCAATATACAAAGAAGAAAACATTTGGCCCACCCTGGGTGGGATCTTGTCAACCGTGTATATAAAAAGTATCCAGTCCGGCGAAGGTTAACGTAATAGGCATTTTAAAAAATTTCATTGCATAGAATTTTTTTTCAGATGAATTTTCATTTGTTTGAATTATTATTTGATATAATTTTTATATAACCGATTTTTCATAAACATAAAATGTTTGGAACATTTTACATTGTAAATTAGAAATTAAAATTGAAAATTGAAGAATAGTGGAAAATTATTTTTAAATGAGAAAAAGAATTTTATATTTTGATAAGACACAACACGGAAATTTTGCAACCGTCATTTTGTTGCGATCGATACGCCGCAAGTGAGTCGTGAGTAAATCAAAGTCTTTACAGCTGTCAATTATAGATGCTTGACCGTCGGTAACAATTCGCATTGTTGTCGCTCGTGGCGCTTCGTCCGCAAATATTCATGACACAATATCAGCTTAATAATTTAGTGGCGCTCAGTAATTTTGACAAGTCATTAACAATCAAGCTGATTGATGTATCTTATCCTACCGATACTCAATTGTTGACGACTGAGGGCACACAAGTTGTTTAGTTTCCAGCGAGTTAAGTTGGTCAAAAAGTTTAAAAATTTTAAACTCAAAATTTTAATTTTTAAAATTATGATTAAATTCTATTATAAATAATAATTTTTGCAAACTACAGAATCTGACATAAAAAAATTCTGACTAATGAAAATTCGGTTAATAATAAAAAATTTCGTATAATATGAAAATTCGTTAAAATAGAAATTCTGCCAAATACTAATTTAAAGGACCCAAGCAAAAATGTGTTGCGCCAGTACTGGCAATTACTGGCAAAGTACTGACCGCCAATATTAAACAAATACTGGCATATGTTTGAAATGATAACGTTTATTAGTACTGGTCATTAGTAATGGCTCAGTACTGGTTCAATACTGGAATTTAGCAGTAATTCTGTATTTGCCAGTACGGGTAAAATTAAAGTAACCAGTAACAAGCCAACACTGGTAGATATTCAAAATTCAGGGTTCTTTTTGCTTTTTACATTAATTGAGCAGAAGAACATTTGACATTTGTAAACAATCAGGGTTGGGAAACAAGAGCCCAAAATATATTCGTCCAAAGCAGAGTTGGGTAGGATTGAAATTCGCTTTGGACGAATATATTTTGGGCTCTTGTTTCCCAACCCTGTTTGTTTACAAATGTCATATATGTCGATTATGATATTGTGTAATAGGAAATTATTAATTGCATTAATTGACAACGCATTAGAAATATTTATCAAGCGTGCATTACTTAAATTTTGTTCATTTATAATAAATAAATTATTGATAATTATTTGAACCACAAAAATAATTAAAAATTTTCAAGTGTTGTGATTGTGAACTTAACTTAAATCTTATGTGATAAATATAAATAAAGGTTAGTGTATTTCATTTTATTTCGAAATAAATTTTTTCTTATTTAATTGCTCGCAATTTATAAGTTTTCGCTTCTCTCTTTCTTAAAATTCATAATAAAAGTATTTTTAATATCTGAATATTCAGTGCAGTGAATAAATTAATTAATAAACTTGTCAATAAGAGCATGCCAGCCATGACAGTTATACTTTGATACCAATTCAGGTATCAAAAAATGATCCCATATTCTGGATCATTTCTTGAAAATGATTCAAATATTTGGATCAATTTGATACCTTATATCGAATCAAAACGTTGCATGAGTTGATCTTAATTCTTGTATCAATTTGATACACACAAGAAAACTGTGCTGTGAAAAATAATTTTCGGCGCTGAGCGTCAACGCCAACTTCATGGAGGTCAATTTTCATAATTTTTCTGGATACTGGCATTCGGTATTGAATTAATACTGACCGAGTACTGGTTTGCCATTACTTTCACAATAATACTTGCACAGTATTGGAAAATACTGGCATGCGGCGTTTGACAGAAATTTTTACTTGAGGAGGGTTTTCTTATTATTTTTATTTCTGAAAGCAATATCATTTTTCTACAAAAGTAAACAAGAGACAAACATTCCCAGATGTAATAATGCTGTCCAGACGGTTAGGTTTTTCGCATCAAAAATATATGAAATAACTATGCATTCTATCTACCTAACCAAATAGGACAGTATTATTACATCTGGGTACGTCGAAATAAAAGTCGTGTCTCTTTAGAAATTTTACATTTCTTTCGCAGATAAAAAATATAATTTTTTCTTTTTAGATCTGTGTTTCATTTTTTCATTATATATATATAGCTTAGAAAATTTTGATTTAAAAAAAAAACCCTTGAATGTTAATAAAATCGTTCACTAAATATTTTAACTGCAAATATTTTACACCTTTTATGTAATATAATTTATTATATAAAACAATATATGGCATTCTAACTATTGTGGGAAAATTTTTTGAGAATGGAATTTTTGATATGTAAATTTTTTCTCTATTAATCTACATTTCAAAAGCAGGAGGAAATTCTTTTTATGAAATTTGTAGAATTCAGAAAAAATGAAGAATGTTCCATAAGATTCTCGCAAAGAAGTTGGGTGGTAGCGCCTTCCATTGTTCTTATCTTAAATTAATGACACATCTGAAAAAGAAGAAGCATTAAAAGCAGAAATGCGGAGCTCTTGATTACATCAAAAATGCATTATTTTCTGTTGAGAAATTAAAATCAAACTTTGGCTCGTAAAGTGCAGATTATGAGAAATTAGGTTAACAAAAAAGTCTTACAAGCATATTTGTTTCGTTCGCT